TCACATGCGTGGACAATCCATACCACAACGGCTATGTGCTACACGATAAAAACCACATACTTAAATATGAGTTTTCCAATACATAACGGACAGAGCGCAGCCCTAATAAACGGGTACCATACACTAACGATATCATAGATAGTACGACCATACCACATAAAGTTGGGATGATATCTGGAATTGGTGGTTAGGCGCTTCTTATGGTTATTGTTTATGCGGGCCATGCTCATAATATGAGTAAACTGCGTGTAAAATCAAATATATATAAATTTTAACTTTTTATACATTTATTTTACTCATATTTAGATAACTTTTACTAACTGTTGAGGTTTAATCCGGCAAACTCAAAAATAGGTTAACTGACTCTTTAATTCGCGTAAATGATTCGTAGCGTGTTCTGCCTTGTTTACATTCTGCAGAGTTTTCTTGAGCTGCTCCAGCTACGAATTGTTTTATCTTTCGGAAACCGGAAAAACTTTAAAGTTGGATTTGACATTAAGTTTCTACTACAGTGTAGCGCCTTGCACTTCATCTTCAATCAGAGCACAATAGACACAATTTACAGTATCGATCACTTCAAAGCACGCAGTTCATTCCACTTCCGTTTCGCAAATAAAATCTTCAAATATCATCAATATCATTCACGTCAATGTTGATTTCGGCATCACTGCCAGCCAGATTGCTGCGTTCCCTCTGTCTTCATTTTTCTACGATTGCTGCTGTCAAATCATCCAATCAGCAACTGGCTCGGATTTGACAGAAAATTGGCTCGAAATCGCTACCCGATTGTCGGGTCCCGTCCCAGGTAAAATCTTGGGAACATGCACCCAAAAAACTGAACGAATTTTTTGAACTTTTTAAGATTTTTTATACTTAAGGTTTTTTGGTAAGACTCCACTGTTAAAAGAAAAAAAATAACTTTACGGAGTCGATAGTCTTTAAACCGATATTGACCGACAAAATTATGTTGTATTTCTCAACTAAACACAAAACAAATTTCTCTTATGGGGGAGAGGTAGCTCATCGATTCTTCCGGTTCGCCTCCTAACATCGTGCTATAAGGTACCAGGCGATAACCAGGGTAGTTGATCGATAGCTCGATGACGTCATTTCGTTGACGTCTGCAATGGGAAATTCTCATAGCAGGCGTTGACGATGGGACGTTGTCGAGTTGTTGAATAGCAACTATCGTGGTAACTCACCGATTACCTGTCGATTTGCCAAATTTGGAAAGACGTCTTCATTGAATTGTCTCATATAATAATATTCCGCCCACTATATCACAAGAAATTGCGAGTAGCTGAGTGGAATGGAGATAAGTTAAGCATTGGGCACAGGACCAAGTCTCCCCTGGGTGGTGCCAAAAGATGAGCGCAATAGAATCATCAAGTTGCCATAAGGCACGGAATGAGACTATTGCATGGCTGGGTAGTCAAAGTCTTCCATTCGTTAGCCATTTCAGGTGGATTAGAACAGGTTTAGGTGGGCGTTGGCCAGATTTGGATTTTTCAGATGTAATCCTGGATAGGACCCTGTCATTGAACGTCGCGTGAAAGTGGAACTTAATGAAGGCCTAAGTACTTTTTCGTAGTTTTTAGTTTTCGGATTTTAAAGATCGTCGGTTACAGTGGCCTGCTTACTGAGCAGAAAAACGCGGTCCCAGGTCCTTACATATCAAAGAGATTTATGGTAAAATCGCTTGTGTATCGTGTATTTTGCGAAACTCGTTGTTGTCGTTGGTTCCGGGTTTGAATGGATACACAAATTTGAGCACGGTATTATGTGATATGAGGGGCTCGGTGGCCTTAGAGCAACCGTTTTTGCTTACTGAGCAGAACATCATGAGTCTAATCTCAGGCCCATCCACATTCAAGATTCGTCAATCGTTTTGTTTTATTTGTTAATATGACTACATGGTAATAACAGCAACTCGGTGATTAAAAAGGTGCTCGTCTGCGTAGTGGCAAACGTTTTTGCTTACTGAGCAGAAGACCGTGGGTTTAGTCCCAAGCTCCTTCGCGTTATATGATCTTTAGGACATCAATTCAGCTTATCGTTTACCAAAACGAACCCTGCTGCAAACCCAACCCTCTTATCCAACATCCCAGTGATTCCTCGTGGAAGTGCAGAGGTGTTCTCGGCTTCCATCAAAGCGAGTGTCATGTCAACACAATCCTTCCCATTCCTTTCTTGACCTGTGTTCGGGCGCGGCCGGCGCTGGTATTGCCTAATTTAAGATCACCAGTTTTTACACATTGAGGATGATTGCTAGTCCCAAGCATCGTCTATTGGTTCTCTGTGTAATTACAGCTGATCTGGCAGTAACAGAGTAGCAACCATGGGCGGTCAATCAAGCTCAAGCTCAAGCTCAAGAAGTGAAAGTGACGTCAACAATGTGGTTACATATGAATGATAAGGAGTGAAAAAGAAGCGCGATTTCACATGCAGATCCTTTGTAGATCGAGGCTAATCTTCGATAGAACGAAGTTGCATCCATTTATAGACCCAATTTGAGTACAGTAGACCGACATTACATCCACATACCTGAAAAATTCAATGTGTTCATGTTAAAATGGTGAGATTAAACAATTGTCAGTCGTGGCTAACAAATATCCAAATAATAAGAATATCTAAGCTTACATGTTCACAGTGAAAGATTGATTGTAATTGAAGCCTTCATATTAGACCGAGGTTAGGGACATTAGTATGTTGTCTCTTTCCCCAGATCGGTTTTTTAACAATAACTTTAAATTTTGGGGGAGTTGAACAAATTCAATTGTGATTTCATGTTGTACTCGACTAGACTAACAACCTTAACAGGTCATTTGAAAAGTTTTTCAGTCGAGTTACACCGTATTATTATTCTTGCAAAGCTATTTATCAATTTTATCGTACAAATTGCAAACCGACCAAAGATTCCATCGTCCGCTAATCGATCGTAAAATTTCCATAAAGGCGAAGAAAGCATCAAAAGCCGGTCGTTTTATGTTTCTTCCATGACGCAACCCACCATGTCCCTGTTTGCAGGTACTCAATCATCCAACGAGCCAATCGAAATCAATCAACCAAAAAACCTCTCACAAACCAACAGGTTATCGCATAAACCCACTTTCGGAACGAAAACAAAACCTCCTCGCCCTCGAAACGCCCTCGAGCAACTTTCCTATCTAGGCTTATATGCCGTGTGGTCCTGCCGAAAAAAAAAGAAACATTCCATATCTTTCACCTTTCTCACACACCCGTCGCGGCACATATTACATAAATTTATGATCCTCGCTGAGAAGTGACCCACGACGGGACGCGCAAAACAAGTTTGTGGAAATGGATACCAACGTGTTGAGAGATGGAGCACAAGCAGACCGAACGACCGCTCGCCCGCCCGCCGGCCAGGATCATAACATCTTACGAGATGGAAGAAAATCGGAGTCCCGGAGGGCTTCACCGATGACCGCACATGAATTCGTCGAAATGGGCACGTGTTCATGTGTGTATGTGTACATGTTTGGTTGGTGCGAACCAGACAACAGCGATGGAGATTACATAAAAACTTTCACAATTTCGTTCGGTTATTGAATGGATGGGGACCAACTTACAGAGGGTAGCAAACCTGAATTTGTCACGCACTCACTCCCTCTTGGGACCGCCACCGCCGCCGCCGTCGGGATGCTGCGACGAGTATGCTCTTTCTCTCTAACATTTCGTCGCGCATCATTGGGTGCAAACACAAATATTTTATCTCTTAGCTGTTGCTCCGATGCAATAACCGGTGGAGGAATGTCTCCATATTAGACTGAGCGCAAAGAAGTATCATAGACATTATAACATATGTTTATTCCCCGAGCGAAAGTGTTCACATCATCGTAAGGTGAACAATTATGACACTGCGATGAGGGAGAAAGAAGGGTCGTTAATTTCTTCGCTTTTTTTTTTCGCGAATGTGGAATTAACCTCTTGATCACAACAATCAACGGTCGCCGGTTTTGTCGACGAAGGTTTTCCCCCTATGTTACGCAATCATGGGCGCAAACGTTTCGCGCACACGTCATGCAAGATCAACTTGTTCGTGAGATTGGTTTTTGTATGTTTAATTATGTTGTTGAGGAATTAATACCTCCAGGGGGAAATTGCCCCACCTTGACGGGAGATGTCAGTAAAAATTAGCGAAATAAAATTTAATGAACGCGTAATCTTTTCATCCTGGGAATTGGTTAATTTTCACACGTAACAGTCGGACGATGATTGGGTTCGTCGCTTTCAGCATCGTTGCAGTCATTCGATCGGACTTTACCCTGTGCAAGATGACAAATCGGATCGCAGCACACCGAATTTTATTTTCCAATTTTCGGTAAGAGCAATCACGCTGTTGTTAGCAAAACGGGGTATTTTTCTGTTACTCATCATTCGCTATCGAAAGCGAAAATAATTATGAACAAATATGGATGTATGCTAATCCAATGGTCCCCAAGTTTCGTTGATTTTTGTCCGTTTCGAGAAATTTCAACGGCTTCATACAACAAAGGTAATACCAGTTCTTGTAATGGACTACAGCGTACAAGCAAGTTTTCCCAGAATGCATATTTTTGTGTAAAACCTTCACGAGATTTTCCAGACGTAATCTCCATAATAAGGTCAAAAAAAATAGATCCTAAGACAAAAATTCATGATGCTGTAGTTTGCAGATATAAAAAATAAATTTCTGTATTTCAGAAAAATTTTCGTGACACTTGAATTTTTAAGAATATTTTATGTACAGAAATCAGTTCCTTTGTTTAGACATCCTCCCTATCTCTGCAACTGTAAGACTTTGTGTTTTTCTAAGACTAATTCTTTACTCTGACTAGGATTTCCTATATTTACCTTCTCCTTCCATTGCAATTTATATTTGGCCGAAAAGCTCTTCGGCCAATAAATTACATTATGTTCAAATATATTTTAATTCCTTCTTGACCCTGTAACAATCAAAACTAGCTAACTAACTTAATTTCTTCTTCTTTTTTCAGACCAGCAACTATTATTTGGTAAGTGTAAAATAATTCTATCTAGTGACCATTTTGCCTACTGACATTCGACCTAATGGCCAGAACGAATAATAGCAAATAACCCCACAACGTTATTGGCTAGTTCTTATATGGAGCGCCTAAAACAAATCCCTGTGTAGTCAAATCCGAAATGAGAAAAATTACTCATGATGTCATGAACATAGCGTATTTTCATGTTATGAAAATACTCCATGAATAATATTCATGATATCATGAGCTATGTTTGCGTAACGCACCCAAGATTCCCGAAATCATGAATCATCCGAGTTAAAATCATGAACTAAATTCATGATTTTAACTTTTAGTTTGTAAGCCAAAACATATAAAAAAAAAGTAAGCAACATACTGGATTCGAACCAAGAACCTTACGATTATTAAACCCATACTTTGACCACTAGACTATCAGTACTTGTATAAGATAGAAGGCAACAGGCGTATAACAGATACCGTTGTAGTGCGGTGAACACGGTGTTCCAGGTAACGCTTGAAGCGGTCATGATTCCACTGCATTATGAAATCATGAATTTCCATAACGAAATCATGAATCCATGTTATGATTTCATGGGATGGCAAGTTTTTTGATTTCATGATTTTTTATTTATGAAAATGGAATCGGATTTTTTTTCCCGTGTACTCGCCCGAAGATGTAAGGTGAGAGACCCCTGCTTCAGTTTTGACTACAAGACCAGGACGACGCAGATGACAGTGTAATCAGTACGGTTTTGATAGAACGTCGATAAGGTCACGAGTGAGTCATAAATATTCCACGATATATCGATTGAGTTGGTCGATTTTTATACGTTTGTTTACAAGGTTTGATTGTCAAAAAGCAGATACAATCAGGGCCAAATAAAGTCACTTTCAATCGGTAATCGTCAAGCGACGACGAAGCTGTCAACCATCACTTTAAATTGAAAGTCGTTCTGTCTTCTCTTCGAGCAGATCCTCTTCAACATCAGCAGAACCACTTTCATTCAATTTTGCATGCCTTTTGTGTAGGCTTGACACGTGTTCATTTTGTCTTTCATTGTCAAATGAAACGTGGAACGGTCAAACTAAAATTTGGTGTATTTTTTTTTTTATAATGAGAGAGAGAAGGATTAGTAATTTCCATTTAATTCCACTACCTTATCCTTGACAGATACGCGTATTTCATCTACAATGTGCAGACTTCTTGCTTGAGCTTGAGCTTGATTGACCGCCCACGGTTGCTACTCTGTTACTGCCAGATCAGCTGTAATTACACAGAGAACCAATAGACGATGCTTGGGACTAGCAATCATCCTCAATGTGTAAAAACTGGTGATCTTAAATTAGGCAATACCAGCGCCGGCCGCGCCCGAACACAGGTCAAGAAAGGAATGGGAAGGATTGTGTTGACATGACACTCGCTTTGATGGAAGCCGAGAACACCTCTGCACTTCCACGAGGAATCATTGGGATGTTGGATAAGAGGGTTGGGTTTGCAGCAGGGTTCGTTTTGGTAAACGATAAGCTGAATTGATGTCCTAACAATCATATAACGCGAAGGAGCTTGGAACTAAACCCATTGTCTTCTGCTCAGTTAGCAAAAACGTTTGCCAATAGGCAGACGAGCACCTTTTTAATCACCGAGTTGCTGTTATTACCATGTAGTCATATTAACAAATAAAACGATTGACGAATCTTGAATGTGGATGGGCCTGAGATTAGACTCATGATGTTCTGCTCAGTAAACAAAAACGGTTGCTCTAGGGCCACCGAGCCCCTCATATCACATAATACCGTTGCTCAAATTTGTGTATCCATTCAATCCCGGAACCAACGACAACAACGAGTTTCGCAAAATACACGATACACAAGCGATTTTACCATAAATCTATTTGATATGCAAGGACCTGGGACCGCGTTTTTCTGCTCAGTAAGCAGGCCACTGTAACCGACGATCTTTCAAATCCGAAAACTAAAAACTACGAAAAAGTACTTAGGCCTTCATTAAGTTCCATTTTCATGCAACGTTCAATGACAGGGTCCTATCCAGGATTACATCTGAAAAATCCAAATCTGGCCAACGCCCACCTAAACCTGTTCTAATCCACCTGAAATGACTAACGAATGGAAGACTTTGACTACCCAGCCATGCAATAGTCTCATTCCGTGCCTTATGGCAACTTGATGATTCTATTGCGCTCATCTTTTGGCACCACCCAGGGGAGACTTGGTCCTGCTTAACTTATCTCCATTCCACTCAGCTACTCGCAATTTCTTGTGATATAGTGGGCGGAATATTATTATATGAGACAATTCAATGCAGACGTCTTTCCAAATTTGGCAGATCGACAGGTAATCGGTGAGTTACAACGATAGTTGCTATTCAACAACTCGACAACGTCCCATCGTCAACGCCTGCTATGATAATTTCCCATTGCAGACGCCAACGAAATGACGTCATCGAGCTATCGATCAACTACCCTGGTTATCGCCTGGTACCTTATAGCACGATGCTAGGAGGCGAACCGGAAGAATCGATGAGCTACCTCTCCCCCTCTACAATGTGCAGACTTCTTCAGTGTCTAATACTCGACTGAAGAAAAACATCGCATTTACCGAATATATATCAACACAGCTACATTTTCACTTAGAAACTAGGTAAACTTAAATTTAATTTCCTGTAGGACTCGTTGATGTGTCCTAGGTAGTAACTTGAAAAGCCACGTGTGTCCGTTTCCTTGATCCCCTTGATGAGTAAAGTTGAATTACGTTGTTTGTTGATCTCGAGGCTTTCTGCAACATCCAGTTTCCATGGTGTAGATACGGTTCGTAAAATCGTGATGTCCTCCGTCGATAGTTGGTGGTCCTCTGTGAAGATGTGTTCTACAACCTTTCATTTGAAATCATATGTTAGGCCTTTTCCCTCTTGCTTTTTGGTCTTATTAACCTCCGCTATATGTTCTTTAAATCAAGTTGCTAAAATTCTCTTGGTTTGTCCTACATATACTTTGTTACAATGATTACAGCTTATTTTATATACACCTGCTTTACCTTAAACATTAACTGGGTCTTAAGTGGATCCTAACAATGATTTCAACTGATTATGTCTACTGGTGAAAACTAAATCTAATCCGAACTAAACTACGCTGAAGATATCGTCAACAAACCTCCACCAACGGTTTGATAATAGTCCTTTCTCTTTGAGGATTGTCTCCAAGTTGGCCATGAAAAGTTCACACAAGAAGGGGGATAGGGGATAGCTTGTAGAAGTTACCTAGGAAAGAGAAGTAGTTCTCTTCCATACAAAGGCGGGTCAGCTTAAGGTACGTTCGAACCTTGTTTCTCCATGCTGCATCCTCTCATTGTGTTAATAGCCAGTCCTCCAAATGGTTGATCGCTTCCTTGACCGGTACGCTGGGAAAAAGAGCTGTGACGTCGAAAGATACCATAATCTCGTCCTCGTTGATGTCTCCTGAAGTTTGTAGTTAACTCCTGGGTGTTACTAACTGCTTTACTCTGGAACTGATTCGGCATACTCTGGAACTCTTTGACTAGCCACTTCGCTAGTTTGTGGGTGGGGGAGCCAACTGCAGTCACGATCTCTCGCATTTCATTTCTCGGTTTGTGGACTTTGGGGAGACCATTGATCCTGGGTAGAATGGGATTGGGTTCCCGTAAACGACCTGCTCCATCTCCTAATATCGATTTGCACTCCTTCAGTGCTTTCTCCACGCGTTTCACTATGTTCTGTTAGGAGTCTACTCGAAGCTGTCTATACGGTCCGGTGTTAATCTTCGTTGTCATCTGAGTGTCGTAATCGTCCTTGTCCATGATAACGACCGCGTTTCCCTTCACGTAGTATACTGCTTTACTTTTTAGCTCCTTTACAATCCGAATTTCTTTTTCGTTGGCGCGACTTTGTTCCTGTCCGTCCTTGATTATGTTCGATGTGATAGTCCTAACCGTATTCTGTGTTGATGTTGGAAGTGTCTTGGTAATCGCTGTTTCTACGTCAATGATGATCTGCTCCACGTCTGGCTTGGTTGTAACCGCGTATCCTAGCCCCTTGTTGAGGTGTGTCAATTGTTCTTCCGTGAATGCGGTCGTCGATCGGTTGACAACTAACTCATCAATGGAGTGAACCCTCGGCGTCGTGGTTATGGTTGATGGGATCTGCTCACCCGTTCGGTGTGTCGTCCGTCTCCGTTGAGACTCCTGTCGTAGTCTGTTTAGCTTCGTATCCTGCAGCTTCCGCTTCCTATCCAATTCGCACTTCTCTGCTACCTTGGCTCTAGACAGAAACTCCTTGGCCAATTTGAGATGTAGATAATAACATTCCAAAACCTTCATGTCCAGTTTGCTATATAGCCGTCTGATGCTATCCTTGATGAACTCTGCTTCCATCCTCTTTACTACGCTGGGTGGGGTGGGTGTCCGTTAGACTGATGCAAATTTTGACATTTTCGCTCCACAGTGCTTAAACGGTTCCAAATCGGGTCCTGATTAGTCTCCCAAAATTTGAACTCATTTGAAAAGAAACTGACTTCGCACAAACCATTTGAAGTTGATATGGAAATTACTATGGGAAAACCAAATGTTTTGTTCATATCCATATAACAATTTACCATATAGCTCTGCTTTAAAAAATGATAACTGAGCTCGTAGAAAATTTTCTCAGCTACAACTTTGTCCTGAACCACTTTTCAATATAATGTTAGCATCAAAAGTTATCAATAATTCAAGCCACTAATGTCTTACGATTATGCTCAATCAACTGTTCAGCAGGCAACGTTGGTGTTTCTGGCGCTTGGAATAGAGCACAAAAATCATGGCTACTATGTCACACTGCAAGATACAGTGTTGCTCACAAAACAGCTGCTTGATCATGCCATAAGATTATCAATCTCTTAAACAATTAATAACTATTTTATTTGACGTTTGACTCAACAACTACATTCTGCTAAGTTGAAGCTGAGAAAATTTTCCATAAGTATAGCTTTTGAATTTTT